TTGTTGTCCTATTGGTGTTCGAATAATCGACTCTGATACTAACGAACCAGCCACACCATTAAACATGGAGCAGGATTCATTCATCCAAATCAAGCTCTTGATCCAGGACAAATATATGATACTATTCCACATGACTACGTCAATCTTATATGCTCTATGAATTTCACAGAAGAGCAATTCAAAACATTTGCAAGATCATCAGCCAATTTCCACAACTGCTCAAATCCATCAGCTGATCTGAATTATCCATCATTCATTGCTCTATGGGAATCTGACCTTGAGCGGAAAAAATTCCCTCGGTTGGTCAAGAAATTCACAAGGATGGTTACAAATGTTGGTTCTAGTGCAGCTAAATATACAGCAAAAGTGGAAACTCCCAGAAATGCCAGAATATCAGTATCCCCACAAGTTTTAGCTTTTGGGAGAAAATATGAGAAAAGGAGCTATAGTTTGAGTATTCATTACAGAGGTGATCCGAAGTTTTGTGTTAATTATGGGTCGATCACATGGGTTGAAAAGAATGGAAATCACACTGTAAGAAGTACTATTAGTGTGTTTCCAATTATTCAAGTCTGGGGATCTTGAAGATCCTTTACAATTTACTTTAAACCAAATAAATTTACGTATTTACCTTCAGTGTTAGTATTTGGGTTTTCATCTTGGATTGGTCATTACGAACTCAATCCATTTTAACACGTTCTAAGTTTGATCCAACCCGCTAATCTAACACCCGTCATCACAAATAATTTGATATTCATGTTCATTTACACAATTTATCAAACATGTTCAAAGCTTAAGCATTCGTTAAAGACCCTCGCTAAGTAAGAGTGTTATAGTAACAAAGAACTTACCAATCCGATCGAGAATCATCTGCACATAGATTCTGATCATCATGGAACATTCAGAATTTGTAGTAGAACAGCAACAACATGAAGTGAAGTGAAGTTTGTTACTCGTGTCTCTATCTGCCTACGAAAATTCATCGATATTCTGGAAATTCATTCACAACTGATATGGATTTAATTATGCTCTAAGAATCACTGACTCTGCCGTTAGAGTTCCGGGGAATGAACCACTGGCTTTCATGTATTATGTATGGTATTATTTTGGGCACAAGGTAAACTCCACATCGTAATTACTAAGATTCTTCATACTTTCAAATATTACTTTCTGTATCATATTTCGTGCATATATAACATGCATGACTCTGAATTTGCGAGATACATGTATCTACCTAATTTTAAAATCAAGATACATATTTTATTTATTTAAATTAATTGATTGTAACGAATTTCCTTAATTAGATGAGTCATGGAGGATTTTCAAAATACTTAGAACCATTAATTCTGAAAATTAAAATTAATTAAGTCCTTTAATATAAGGTGAAAATCAAGGATTATATCTATTTTTAATTAATTTCATTTCATTATATTATTAATAAAAGACAAAAACATGTATATCTTGGTCATATAATTTGATTAGTTTCATTTGATTACTCTTAAAATAATAAATTCATTAATTTGATGTATCTATTATCAAATATATAATGTATCCAATCAACTAAACACTTAGATACATGAATATCATACAAGTATCTAGTATTAATTTGATGTATCTATTTATATGATCTAATATTAATTTTATTATCTATTTATATGATCTAATATTATTTCATGTATCATTTATATGTATAATTTGATGTATCAAGTATCAATTCGATACGTTATATCCAAAAGCATGTATCACAGATAAATATGAAAATAGTTAGATACATTGTAATAACACAACAAATATATATATATATATATGATAATATTAAGATACATGATAGAATACCATATACATATGACAAGACTCGAATACATGACAGAACAAATTGTGTCAAATACATGTCAATTTATTCATTAGATACATACACACTTAATAAGATACACTGATAAAAATGAGATACATATAATTGTATCTCAATAATGTATCAGATACATCAATAATGTGTCAAATACATACGTAAATCTCCGCTTATTGAAACTTTCTGATTACGTTTGTGGCTAGTTAGGGCATCTCACCGCGGCGGTGTTTGCTTCACCTTTTGATTCATCAGTGTTGCTCATTGTGCCTAGATCCGATGGGAGAAGTGACACAAAGTTTCTTGGTTGATCTATAGTATGCAACCAATACTATCGCCTATGTCGAATTTGATAAATTTACTGCGCTTGAAATCTCTGCTTACAACGATACTCATTGTCTCTGTGCCCGAGAGGTGTCTCCCTTTACGAAAAAAATGGTAGATTCGTGGGGAATTGGTTTGAGAGAGAAAATCAAAGGCTAAGAATTTGATGTGTGTGTTGACAAGTTGTAGAACATCTATGTTAATGGGGTGTTTCTTCTCAATAAATTTTGACTCTTCAACGGAAGAGGAAGAGAAAAAGTTAGAGTTTGAGTTTTACCCAAACTCATACTCTCTGAGAGAAAGATATTTGTTTTTAATTAAAACACTAATTTTAGAGTTTAAATGTAAAGATAATTAATCAATCCTAGTTTTAAGGGATATGGATATTGATTGTATCTTCAATAATATATGGTATAAAATAGTTTAAATGGTAATATATGTAATTACTTAAAGTAGAGGTAAAATTAGTATATATATGATAGTGATGTATGTCTAATAAAGTAATTTGCCCCTTACTTAGTACTATATTTGATAATAGGAATTTTGGGCCTATATAACTAATATATCCACCCTACATTGTATTAGATGATGTATAAATACATAGAATTTAATTTCATGAATTAATTTATGTAAAGATAAAAATATCCCTCAAATCATTTTAATTATTTTATTTATTTTTTTAATTTTATGTTTTATATTTATATTAGTAAATTTATTTAAATAATTTTGCTTAAAATTTTTACTATTTAGAGAAAATTGTTTGTTGCTAAATAAATCCAATACAAATCAATAAAACATTTGAAATGTGTGTTGCTTAACATTTACTAATTGAAAAGGTAAACATATCACACATGACATAGTTGATTTTAATTGAATGTATTATTTGTTAATATATATGGGGCTTCTAATTATTGTATTTTGAACAATTTATAAAATTGGATACATATTAAAACTACAACATGCAATTTTTATGTGTAAATGTAGATGGTTTATTCGATTTTACTATTGTTTACCGTCTTTTCGGTTTTTAAAATTAGATGGTCTATCTTTTTAAATTAAAAATTGACGTTTTGTAAGTGATTAATTTATTAAGATGACAATTATTTACCCTCAAATAATCCAAGTGAGAAAATAACAAATATGACAATAAAATTGTTCTTTTCCTAGCTAGTTAGAAGGTTATAAAAAATAATATTGTCCAACAATTATCTATCTTGATCCGATTACATGAAATAGAAAATCCATGATTATAATCGGAAAGAAAATTTTTATAGAGTTTTAATTCAAACACAAGATGAGGTGGAAAGTAATGAACCAAACACTTGATAAAAAAATAAATCATGCATTACTAATCCCTATGTTATTAATTTTTGTACCGAACTACCCCTAATGTATTCTTACCTTGTGAGCTAGTTAGCTTTTGTGTTGAGTTAGTGTACTATTCAAACAGAAGAAACTAAGCATGAAAATATAGAGTCTGGAACCTATCTAAGCCATTACAAGATAAAAATGACACAAATATGCCACAGTTTTAGAGTATAATTAAAATAGACTTAGTGTAATTTTTTCTTCCATTATATCAAAAAATAGAAATGGAGACGTTAGACTTACGTCTGTCATTTATATTTTTTTATATAATACAAGAAAAAACTATACTCATCCTAATTTAAGTATACTCTAAAATGGTGGCTATTTGTGTCACTTTTATCTTTTAATGGCTCAAATAGATTCCAAACTCGAAAATATATAATGTGAACAAGTAATTAACCATAATTTAAAAGTACATCAGGGATATGATGAAATAGTTGAGATTCCTCCCAACTTAATAAAAAAATTCAAGTTCAAACTTTAAAATAGAAAATGTGTTCTGCTTGACGTTTGATAACTAATTGAAAATGTCTTATACTTGACAAACAATAGATTTCGAATATTGTCCTGCCTCTCAGAAAGCCTCAACTCCAGTCGGTGCGTATGTAGAGGGGGTGCCGTGGTTCACGTGATTTTGTGAACCCATGCTCTCCTCTCTAGATCATATATAGTAATGTTATATTTTTTTTAAAAATATTTAAATATAGATGTGTGAATTCACATTCAAAATTTCATATAGTAATACAATGATGATTGTGTGCATCGCTCGTGAGGATAAAAATTTTAATATTTTATCTATCTTGTCTTTTGGAGTAACACCTCTGGTTATCGGTTACACTTTTGACGTTTCAACTAATTTTGCTTTAGTTTTTTTTTCTTTAATCTTTCAAAATTTTCAAGTGTGTCACATTGAAAATTCCTAAAATTTTAGCACTGTAAAATTTTTATATAATTAAATCAAATGTGTGTATTAAAATTTAAAACTAGTAGTATTATATATTTTGAACCTATAATTTTTAAAATTTAATGGTTCATATTAAAACCTAAAAATTAAATTGATCAAATTTATAAAATGCATTTTTTTCGTAATCATGCACCCATCTTGTCAAAATCTTGGATAAGCCTCTGACTCTACCGGCTCAAAATTGTCATCGACCCATCAACATCTTCAATTATAATGCCCATCCCCAAAATATCATTTGAAAAGTCTCTGGATTTTTCTGCTTGGATTTCCAACCACAAACGTTTATGTTTTAACTTTTTCAAGTTTCAACAATTGAAAAATATCTCCAATATGTTATTTTATATCTCAAGCTTCATTCTATGGTGTCTATATTCTTAAGCGAATTATCTATATGTAGTACATCGCAAGGAAAGCTTATTAAACTCTTTTTTTTTATATATAGAACAATGAGTTCTTAGCGATAAAAAGGCTTAAAGTTGCTTGTAACGCATACATAGTTTATCGAATAACAAAAACTTGTTCATTCAGCATACATAATGTCAGGATCATAAATCCTAATCTTCTGCCCCCCACAAATCAACTGTGGTAGTTAACACTATTGGACTTCTTACTGAATGGTTTCCATTCTTTTCAACCCAAGTGATAGACCCATCTTGACCTGAGTTGAAGTCGCCTCTATAGCGAATTGTCAAAGTATAGCTTTGCTTCTCATTTTTGTTCATGAATACCAATGTTTGTGGTGACACTGAAATTGTAGAGTTCGTAGGATTCTCTATTTTTACTCTATAAGTTGCTCCACCTTTACCAACATTTGTAAGGGTCCTCTTGAATTTCTGCTCCAACCATGGGTAGTTACCCTCCTGGCTGTATGAATAAAAGGCAATGAATGATGGATAATTGAGATCAGCTGATGGATTTGAGCAGTTATCGTAATTGGTTGATGATCTTGCAAATGTTTTGAATTGCTCTTCTGTGAAATTCAAAGAGCATATAAGATTTATGTAATCTTGTGGAGTAGCATCATATACTAGGCCGGGATCAAGTGCCCTGTTTGGATCAACATGCCCTGATCCGATGCCTAGAGGCGAGGCTACCATGTTATCGTCCTCTGTAATAGGCTTTTGTGCACTATTCAAATGGTTTGCGGTAGTCATCATGGCAGAGCGAATAGCTGAAGGACTCCAATCAGGATGTGCACCTTTTAGCATTGCTGCAATTCCAGCTGCATGAGGTGCAGCCATGGATGTGCCTGATTTAAGCTCGTAATCAGTGGTTAATTGTAGGTTCTCAATAGAAACCGAAGGGATATTAGGTGGAACTGCTGCAAGAATAAGTGCCCCTGGAGCCATAATATCTGGCTTTGCAATTCCTGCGTAGCTTCTGGAGGGCCCTCGTGATGAGTATCCAAGAAGAAATGGGCTTGGCCTTTCTCCATCCAAATATGTTTCTTGGAATGTTATGGTGGCAGTGGGAGCAACACTGTTTTTAGCGTAATTGATGACTTGTTTCCCTTCCTTTTTGTCAATCACTACTCCCGGGTGGGTAAAAGAAGCATCCCTGAACACTGCTGGATCCTCAGAAATAAAGATACCTGCTTTAAATCTTGCTCGAGTGACAGAAAAAATTTGACTATCAAAACCAAAACCGTCTTCAAGTTTATTATAGTCACAAATGATGATGGTGTTTTGGGGATCAGGAACTTGTGATAACAAGTCATCTGACTTGCAATCAGATAGAGTCTTATTGTAAATCACCGGAGAATCCCTGACAAAGGCTCTTGCAGGAAACAAGCTCCACCCCCTAATTTTTAATCCATTGCCCAAAGTCAATGTTCCTGCAAATGTCCGGTCGGTGAAGCCTGCTGCCACGCACAAGATCCATGGAGATCCATTGCCTAAAGTTCCCCAACTATGACCTCGATTTCCAGCTGAAGCTGAAACCAGCACTCCCTTCATCATAGCTCCAAAAGAAGCAATAGATATAGCATCTTCATATAAAGGAATGAAACGGTACCCAAAAGAAATAGATATCATGTCAACACCGTCTGCAACAGCTTGGTCCATAGCAGCAATTAGATCTGATGTTAAGCTTCCTTCACGAAAGCTAAACTTGTATACAGCTATCCTAGCTCGCGGGGCAACCCCTCTTGCTGTTCCTTGTGCATATCCAAAATGGGAAACACCTTTCGCAAAGTTCCCAGCAGCAATGGAAGCACAATGTGTGCCATGACCATTAGTATCCCTAGCAGAATTCATGGAAATGTTCAGAGTGGGATCATCAGCCAAAAGTCCCTTGTTGAAGTAATTAGCCCCAATGAGTTTTCTGTTGCACATGGAAGTGTTAAACTGGGTGCCTGGATTGCAAATTCCTTTCCATCTTTTAGGGATTTCAGGAATACCATCATCTCGAAAACTTGCAGATTCGGGCCAGATGCCACCATCAAGAACACCAATGATCACATCTTGGCCTAAACCAGAAGCTGACCATAGACCAGATGAAGGATTGAGCTTGAGGTAATCAGATGTGTAAGTAGTGTCAGGTTCCACAGTTCTATCTTTGTATGCTGAAATGAAACCCGGTGACTTCTTCAAAGCTTTCAGTTCATCTTTGGACAAAACAGCACTGAAGCCATGAAACACATGGTCATAAGAGTAAACAAGTTTTGGAGCAGAGTGGAATCTGTCTACTGATGAAGGAACAGAAGCTTTGATAGAATCAATAGTGGAAGAATGCCAATAATGGTGATCAGTAAAGACATTAGGCATTAAAGATTTGTCCAAATGGACAATATAAGTGGATCTTTGTGCGATAGCTAAAAAGAGATGAGCAGAAAGTGCCCATGAAAACAAGACTAGATATGGAGAATATGGAAACCAAATGTTTCTTGATCCCATTTTCACTCACTACACATTACTCAAATATTCATTGACTTTATAGGACACATAAAAAGATTAGGTCCTTGTAACAATTAATACTGTTAGGTGGAGAAGATTGGAATGAGCTTGAGTGACACTAATGTAGTAAAGACAGCATATTTGTGTAAAAGTGAACTCTTACCAATCAAGTTTTATGAATGACTCAAAACTACCGGCGCAATTGTGCTGTGGAGGTGAGAATCAATCCAGGGAGATGAGGGCATAGTGACATTTTTCATGGTCCCGAGTTTGATGAATGACTCAAAATCAATAATGTAGAAGGAGACAGTGGGCCTGGGGGGAGCTTAAAGTTATGTTTGGATAACTAGGAGTGAGATGACTAGATATCTCTTGTTCAAATCTTGAGAATGGACAATCTCTTGACAGATGGCGCTTTATCTCCCAAATCTGGACTAATTGTGCCCATTTGGATAGTGATGGAATGTCTAAGCAATCTAGCTAGAATTTAAAAGTGAAATTTTAGAAAGAAAATCAGATAATAATATCATTCTTTTTGAAAAGTCTTTGAAATTTTGGGAAGTTAACTTCATTTGCTAGTACTGTAATGACCATCCCAATATACATGTTGAAAAGTCTTAGAATTTAAGGACTTCACCAGTCCAGCTGCAGAGTAGGGACTGCTACAATTGGGCAGTTAATTAGATACTGATGGCTCCCGTCCTTCCCAACCCAAGTAGATATATTCAGTTGTCTGTCAACCATGGAATTGTCTTGTGAGTATATAGCATTATGATGTAATAAGATATTTTGGTAAATACTAGTGGTGGACATAAATATCGAAAATCAAACCAAACCAAAATAAATCAATTTTTCGGTTTGATTTTTGTTCTATTTTTTCTGAAACTTTGACATTCGGATCGCTGTGTAATTATAGGGCCCCAATTCTTCAGTTACTTCAAAGAAGTGTTTAAGCAAACTCCATTCACAATTTCATATTCCTTTTTGAGAGAGCTGAATCCATTTCTTCTCCAGTTGATAATATTCAACTATTGATGTGGATGAGAGAGCTGGATCATGGATGAAGCACGAGTTTAGATTGGGAGTCCTAAAGAGGACGTCCTTCATGCCCTTTATTTATAACAGTTTTTTCATGTCTTCTTTCAAACCTATTCAACCGGTTGGAGGGTAAGTCAATCCCGTAGTTCGACAACAAAGAACAGACCACCTCTGAGGGAAAAAAAACCACTAGACATGATATTTCAACTAGCAACAACAATGTAATGTGATCTACATTACTTCGAACCACAAATTATCTTTACATGCCATACTAAATGCCATCAAATCACTTATGGCATGGGAACCGCTTGATTAGTAGCCGCCTAGGGACCACGCTATGACATTTTATAATATCACATTTGTACTACCAAATCTATGACATGAAATAAATGGTGCTTATCTTCAAATTTGAAATATCTACAACTACATTGATCTATAAATTCTTATAGAAGTACTGTATACAATCATCACTCAAAATTCAAAATGGAGTGGCCTAATAACTACTCCTATCTTGTTTTCTTCTTTCTGTTTGCTCCTCTTCTCTGTTTAGCAGAGAGAAGCACATACATTGTCCATTTGGACAAGTCTTTAATGCCTAAGATATTTGCTACTCACCATCACTGGCATTCTTCTACAATTGAATCCATTAAGATTATAACTCCTGCTTCACTTAATAGCCACCATCCTGCTCCAAAGCTTCTATATTCTTATGACAACGTATTTCATGGCTTCAGCGCTGTTTTGTCCCAAAATGAACTAGAAGCCTTGAAAAAGTCTCCAGGATTTGTTTCGGCTCATAAAGATGTACCCATTGAACTCCACACTACACATACCCCTGAGTTCCTTAAGCTCAATCCTTCCTCTGGTCTTTGGCCAGCTTCTAATTTTGGCCAAGATGTCATTATTGGTCTCGTTGACACGGGGATATGGCCTGAATCGCCTAGCTTTAGGGATGATGGTATGCCTGAAATCCCGAAAAGATGGAAGGGAATTTGTCGAGCAGGCACTGATTTCAACTCTTCATTGTGCAATAGAAAAATTATTGGGGTTAATTACTTTTACAAGGGAGCTGTAGCTGAGAATACTCATGTGAATCTTACCACATTTTCTGCCCGGGATTCTTGGGGTCATGGTACACATATAGCCTCAATTGCTTCAGGAAATTATGTCCAAGGAGTTTCCTACTTCGGATATGGAAAGGGAACTGCAAAAGGTGTTGCTCCCCGTGCTAGGTTGGCTATTTACAAAGTATCATGGCGTGAACTTGGATCGACAACCAGTTCAGATATGATTGCTGGTATGGATCAGGCAGTTGCTGATGGAGTTGACATCATATCCATGTCTAGTGGATCAGCTCATGTTCCGCTATATAGAGACGATATAGCAATTGGGGCTTTTGGTGCTATGATGAAGGGCATTCTCGTGACTGGTTCAGCAGGTAATCGCGGTCCAGATTTTGGAACTCTAGTGAATGGAGCCCCGTGGATAATGACTGTTGGATCAGCTTCCACAGACCGAACCTTTGCAGGGACTCTGACTCTAGGCAATGGGCAAAAGATTAGGGGTTGGAGTTTGTTTCCCTTGAGAGCAATTATCAAGGATACAACCCTGGCGTATAACAAGACCGCCTCTTCTTGCAATTCAACTGAATTGTTATCCGATGCCTACTCACCCTTCATTCAAGTCATTGTTTGTGATGGTCCGGAGGATTTCTCCTCTGATCTTGCAATTGGATTTTCCTTTCAAATGAACAGCGTAACGGATACTAGATTTCTGGCAGCTATCTACATTTCTTCTGATCCAAGAGCACTCACCTCCAAATCATTTCACAGCCCTGGGGTTGTGATTGGCAGAAAGGAAGGTAAGCAAGTGAAAGATTACATCAGGAAAACCAAGCACCCTACTGTGACAATACATTTTCAAGAGACGTATGAAGATGTCATCACACCTACACCCAAACTCGCCTATTCATCCGGTAGAGGTCCTGCTCGAAGCTATGTTGGAATATCAAAACCGGATATAATAGCACCAGGGGTGTCAGTTGTAGGCGCCTGGCCACCGGAGGTAGATGCCATTCGTGTTGGTACTAGCATGTTTTTGGGAAGTGACTACAACATCGAATCAGGCTCATCCATGGCTAGTCCTCATGTATCTGGAATTGCTGCAATGCTAAAATCCGTACATCCTGATTGGAGTCCATCAGCTATTAAATCAGCAATAATGACCACTGCTAACCCTTTGGATAACACTCAAAAGCGAATCACTGTGGCTACTACCAACGAACCAACCACACCATACGGCATTGGACCAGGGCTCATTGATCCCAACAGAGCACTTGATCCCGGACTAATATACGATGCAACTCCACAAGACTATGTCAATCTTCTATGCTCCATGAATTTCACAGAAGACGAATTCAAAACTATCGCTAGATCAGCAACCAATCACCACAACTGCTCAAATGCATCAGATGATCTCAATTACCCATCATTCACTGCTCTATACGAGTTTGACCGTGATGGTAACAACTATCCGTTGTTAGTGAAGAAATTTACAAGGACGGTTACGAATGTTGGTTCAGGTGCAGCGATATATAAAGCATTAGTGGAAGTGCCAAAGAATACCAGCATTTCAGTATCACCACAAGTTCTAACATTTGGGAAAAAATATGAGAAGAAGAGCTACACTTTGACTATTCGCTATAGAGGTGAAGGTCATGAGAGCTATGTTTTTAATTATGGTTCAATCACTTGGGTTGAACAGAATGGAAAACACACTGTAAGAAGCCCTATTAGTGTCTCTCCCATTATACTTCCCTGGGGAGAGTTTTGAAAATCTTCTACCAATTCAAAGCCAATAAAAACTATTACGTGTATTCAGAGTTAATATCTCAAAAGATCACTCAACTTACTGAATTTATCTAGCAAAGTCATTAAACTTTATTTTGTTTCACTAAAATCACTCAACTTATGTTTTTGTATCAATAAAATCACTCAACTAAATTTATCATAGAATTATTTTTATTGATTTACATGCAATTAGACTCAAATTCATTCCCAATTCTATCCATTGACCCAATTAAAAAAACCCAACACTTCTTCATCTTCCTGCAATCTCCCTGTACATTTTGAGTCTAGTTTAAGCTATTACTGAAGAAGTCCCAATTCCAGAATTTTTTGCATAAATAAGCTGGCAATACAGACGAACCATTTCGAAGTGACACAGACAATAACGACAACATGTTGCATAACCCGTTACGAAAACAAATTGGCAGTTATCTATACTAATGAATCAAGAACCATTAATTTATATTTCAAGATTTTGAATTTTACTACTGAAAAGTTTACAATCTTTCATAAAATCAGAAGCTGAATAAAATGAGTGTGAATTTATTTGTAACAAAAGAGGGGAAATTTGTGTTGAAGTGAAAAAAAAAATCGTGTAAATAATATGGAAGAGGAAAAACGGGACACAAATTAGAATTTGGTTTTAGTTATTGCTGAAGAAGTGTGTGGTTTTTAATTAGGTTAATGGGTAGAATTATGAATGAATTTGAGTCTAATTGCATGTGGATAAAAATATATATTATATATTTATAAATGAACTAGTTTTACGGCACGTGCGTTGCACGTGTGTATTGTATTTATAGTATACGACGTTGTAAAGTAGAATTAATATTACAAAATTAAAGCTTTTTAGTAAATAATTATAATTGAAAGAACATAGGACAAGTGATTTTTAATGATTAATACAGATTGTGATATAGTTACTTGTATTTCAGAACAAAATGAAAAGATAGTATTGAAACATTTCTAAATAGATTGAAAGTTTAAATATGGGGAGAAAGTGGCATTTCTTCAGTAATAGTATTTTTTACTTCACTCAATTTTTTAAATAAATCTAACCAACGAAATAGAAAAAAAATGTCAATACAAAAAGTGCCTTTCCTCTTGAGTTTATGAACATAGATGATGAACACCATTTAAG